GAAACCTGGAGTATGGTGTTCTAGGGAAAAGAGGCCAAGGTGAGACCAGTGAGCAGCCTCCTGGCTTGAGTGTTACACTAAGGAATTTGGACTTGACTGGGAGGAGCATTTGAAAGATTTTTAAGTAGAGAGGAAGAGAATTATATCATTAGATTTGAGCATAAAGATCATCCTGGCTATAATGAGAAAGCTGGTATTGGAAGACCTCTGTCTCTAGCAGTATCATGGGCAGATATTATATCTTGAATAAACTTAATTTCTAAAGTACTATTGGGCCTTTGGAAAGTAAGAAATCTTCAGGGTCCCCAAACAAACACCAAACTTAAAATCCTAGAGGTGAGCAATAAACAAACATGAAAACCAGATTGCCCTGGGACAAATTACCAAATCAGTCCTGAGATCCTGGAATTGGGTAGTCACAAATAAACCTCAGAGTCAAGATAAAATGGGGAAGCTAGGTTTAAATGTGGTTCCAGTTGGGAATGCATAGCTGGCTCAGTCAGTGAAACATGATACTCTTGATCTTGGGGTTGTGAGTTTGAGCCCCACCTTGGGTGTAGAGATTACTTAAAAATAAAATCTTTTTAAAAATGAATGTGGTCCCAGTTGTGTGGAGTCTCCCAATCCCCTCATGCCTGACTCTCAGCAGAAGCAAATACAGATCTCCTTTCTGAAAAAAGACATCTTTAATTTAGGCCTTCAGGATCTCACATATTCACAAAAAATTGAATATGGGCCACTTCTTAATCAAATATCCAACATACAGGGATCCCTGGGTGGCGCAGCGGTTTGGCGCCTGCCTTTGGCCCAGGGCGTGATCCTGGAGACCCGGGATCGAATCCCACGTCGGGCTCCCGGTGCATGGAGCCTGCTTCTCCCTCTGCCTGTGTCTCTGCCTCTCTCTCTCTCTGTGTGACTATCATAAATAAATAAAAATTAATAAAAAATTAAAAAAAAAAACAAAACAAATATCCAACATACAAAGAATCAAATATCCTGAGAAAGATTCAGCAGAAATCACAAATAGGTCATTCATAGACCTCAGATATTAAAATGATCAGACAGCGGCACCTGGGTGGCTCAGTGATTGAGCATTTGCCTTTGGCCCAGGTCGTGATCCTGGGGTCCTGGGATTGAGTGCCACATCAGGCTCCCCGCAGGGAGCCTGCTTCTCCCTCTGTCTGTGTCTCTGCCTCTCTCTCTGTGTCTCTCATGAATAAATAAAATCTTTTAAAAAATGAAATGATCAGACAACATAAAATATCTATGACATTAAAAAAAAGAATCACAAAATGACAGCGAAAAGAAATCAAAAATGACCAAGCAAATGTGAAAAATAACTACATAGAACTTTTTGAAATGAAAAAAAAAAATCAAAGTTGAAATCAAAATCTCAAAAAAAAAAAAGAAATCAAAATCTCATGGAGAGTTTAGCATATTAGATACAGATGGAGAGAGTAAATTGGAAGCCAGATATGAATAATAACTCTTCAAAAAGCAATTTAGAGACAAAAGAAATGGAAGATACAAAAGAGAGGTTAAAAGACATGGAGGTTAGAATAAGTAAGATTGATGTCCCAGAAGGAAAAAATAAAATGGAGGAGAGCTAAAATTCCTAAAGAGAAGTGAGAATTTTTGAAAATAAGAAATGAACCTATAGGTACAGGAAGCATATGCCAAACTGGATGAGTAAATTCACACAGTCTGCAAAACTCTAAGAGACAGATGTGAAAGGACTGAAGATTAAAAGACAATTCACCTACAAGAAACCACAATCAGTAAGAATGATACATTTCTCACTGCAACAATGGAAGCTAGGAGAAGAGGGCTTAATATCTTCAATGTGATAGAGAAAACTATCAACCTAGAATGTTACATCCAGAGAAACTATTGTTGAAAAACAATGGTGAAATAAAGACCTTTCAGATAAAATAGTTTGCCTCCAACAGACTTTCACTTAAGGAAATTCTACTTTAGAAAGAAGGAAAATAGTACCAGAAAGGAGGTCTAAGATGCAAGAAAGCATAGCGAGCAAAGACATCGGTAAGCATCTGAGTAAATCTAAACAAGTACTACCTATGTAAAATAATGATAATGCTAATAATAATGTCTAACATGTGAGTTAAAAAAAAAGATAAAATATTGGTCAGCTAGAAGAGTGGTTAAATATTCTTTTTTAAATAATTAGATTTTGTATTAATTTTTAATTGTCATGCATGTTAAAATTTTGAGGATAACTTCCCTAAAGAAAAGAAAGAACAGGGACGCCTGGGTGGCTCAGTCAGTGGTTGAGTGTCAGCCTTCATCTCAGGTCCTGATCCTGGTTTCCTGGGATCGAGTCCCGCATTGGGCTCTCCACAGGGAACCTGCTTCTCCCTCATCTGTGTCTCTGCCTCTCTCTGTGTCTCTCATGAATAAATAAATAAAATCTTTATTAAAAAAAGAAAAGAAAAAAGTACATAACTTCTAAATCAATAAAGAAGGAAAGTGGAATTAAAAAAATATTAAGTCTTTACCACTATTTAGCTTTATAACCTCTGTCGTGTCACAGAACCTCCATAAGCCTTAGTTTCCTCATCTTTAAAATGTGGATAGTAGGGGCGCCTGGTCTGCCTTTGTCTCTGGTTATGATCCCGGAGCTCTGCGTTTGGCTCCATGCCCAGCAGAGTCTCCTGCTTCCTCTGACCCTCTTCTGGTGCTCTCTATCTCTCTCAAGTAAAGACATCTTTAATAATAATAATAATTATTATTATTATTATTATTATTATTATATATACACAGTAGTACCCCCCTTATCCAATTGTTGTGAAGATGTGATCAGATAGTGCACGCAAAAAAACAGATCTACATAATAAGTATTCAATAAACATTAGACATTACTGCTATTAATAGTAACTTATGGAGCACCTGACTGGCACAGTTGGTAGAGCATGAGGCTCTTGATCTTGGGTTCAAGCTCCACATTGGGCATGGAGTTGTTTTGTTGTTGTTTTTTTAAGTTTAAAATTCAGTAAGTAAACAAGTAAATAAAATAAAAAATTTTAAATAGTGATCATTAAAGGTGATCTTTAATGATCTTTAATGACTTTAAAGCCATGGTAGAACCTTCCTGCCAACATCTCACCCAGCTTCTCTCCCTTGAGAGGGAGTGGTACCCAAAGAAGGCTAGAGTGTTGAACAGTTCTAATAACTCTGATGGATCTTCTTGTGTTAATCATAACTCCTTGCTCAGAACCTTCAGGACTGAATATTGCCTTTCAGTAAAAGTTAAGAGCATCAAGACTTCCCACAGCCCAGCCCCAACCAATTTGATCTCATGTCCTTGAGTTAGATCTCTAAACATATGTAATGTCTCTTTCCTTTATACTTTTTTTTTTTTAATTTTTATTTATTTATGATAGTCACAGAGAGAGAGAGAGAGGCAGAGACACAGGCAGAGGGAGAAGCAGGCTCCATGCAACGGGAGCCCGACGTGGGACTCGATCCCGGGTCTCCAGGATCGCGCCCTGGGCCAAAGGCAGGCGCTAAACCGCTGCGCCACCCAGGGATCCCTCTTTCCTTTATACTTTTGCTTAGAATGCCCTTTTGAAAAATAGTAGAGTTTGGATTATTTCCTTCATCTTCTTTTTTTTTTTAATTTTTTTTTAATTTTTTTTTTTTAATTTATGATAGAGAGAGAGAGAGAGGCAGAGACACAGGCAGAGAGAGAAGCAGGCTCCATGCACCGGGAGCCCGACGTGGGATTCGATCCCGGGTCTCCAGGATCGCGCCCTGGGCCAAAGGCAGGCGCTAAACCACTGCGCCACCCAGGGATCCCTGTTTCCTTCATCTTCATCTGGAAAACCCTCCCTTCTCTGCTAAATTCAACCTATTCTTGAAATCCCACTTCAAGTCCCATTAAAGCTTCTGACTAGCCCAAAAATGATATATGGTTTGAAAAACTAGCATCTAAATCAAATTCCCAGTCGTCATTTTTGCCTGTCTGCTGCTGCTTTTTCAATTGAGGTTTTGTTTAAAATTTGTATTCCTCACATTTGCATGATATTTCCAGTTAGATTTTTTGTTCCTTAAAATGGTTCCTTAAGACAGTCCTCCATAAGACAGTCCTCCTTAAAATGGTTCCTTAAGACAATCCTCCTTAAGACAGTCCTCCTCTTTGTACCTCTATTATAGCTCCTAAGGAAGAGAAAGTAGTATTTAAGTGCCTACTGTATGCCAGCCACTCTACTAAATGCTTTTTTTATATATAACATCTAATTTATTCCTCACAGCAAACTTAAAAAGATAGATGTTAATGTCCCCATTTTACAGATGAGGCCGTTGCACTTGAAGCTGGTTGAATAATGTACCCAGGCACTTAACTAGTCCGTGGCAGAGCTGGGTTTCTACCACACCACCCATCAAATTAGCTTGCAAATAAAACATGTCTTGAGAGAGTAGTAAAAGGCTCAAGTGGTTTATACATTTTTCTACTTAATTATATTCTACTCTGAAGTTTAGGGTGTCAATGGAAACATTTCCAAGAGGCCAAAATTCTTTTCAAAAATTAAAATTTGACGTACTAGTTATCAACTAACAGCTGAACTATGGGAATTTACAAAGAGCTTGAAGTTAGACAGAGAACCTTTATTGGGGGAGGTTTCGATTAAGAGAAAGATTCTATTCTCTCTCTCTCTCTCTCTTTTTTTTTTTTTTTTTAGATTTATTTATTCATGAGAGAGAGAGGGAGAGGCAGAGACACAGGCAGAGGGAGAAGGAGGCTCCATGCAGGGAGCTTGATGTGGGACTTGATTCCGGGACCCCAGAGCCCAAGGACCACGCCCTGGGCCAAAGGCAGATGCTCAACCACTGAGCCTCCCAGGCATCCCAGATTCTGTTCTCTTATTCTGATTTGTGGTCATGTAATGGGACATGAATTGCAACAAAGTGAACTGTCCTTAAGGTGCTTGTTACAAGTCTTTAACCCTTTCAGAACATTCTTTCTCTTTTTCCTTTTCTAGGGTTACACATCTTTCTGGAATGACTGTATATCATCTGGCCTGCGAGGGGGCATCCTGATAGAATTGGCCATGCGGGGTCGAATCTGTCTGGAACCCCCTACCATGCGTAAGAAGCGACTACTGGACAGAAAGGTACAGCACCTCTGTGGACATCCTCCTAACTTATGAAAGGGTAGATACCAATGGTCCATTTTGGAGGAGTGGGAAGTTTTGTTTTTTTTCTGAGGGGCTTGAATTCATAACCCTGAGCTAATATCAAGAGTTGGATGCTTAACCAACTAAGCCACCGAGGCGCCCCTGGAGGAATGGGAAGATCTGAATAGTGAGACAAGATGATTATCACTCACTCAGCCATCCTATTGTTTAACAGATTTAAGGGAGGGAGGGAGAAATTCAAGTATCTGTCATCTACAGAGTTATAAGAAGTTTATGGTTTTGTCTTTTTTTAAGCAGAAAAGTCATTATTAGGATACTGTTGATTATTACTCCCTCTATGTCTGTAACTGAAACATTATGAAATAGAATGTTATATAGGAGGGGGCAAACCACAGGTCAGGTGCAGTCTTTAACACTAGTCATGCTCAGATAACCATTAGATTTTTCTCCTTCCATTTAAATTAAGTCCATTCCACCATACGAGCTATAACCTCTGTCTCCATTTTTTTTACTATGTATTTTTTTCCACTTATAACTTTACTGTCATACTCAGAACTCTACCCAAACTATATATTCTTTAGGTATCACCAGCAGGCCCTATGTCCAGTGTGGTACTTGAACTCACAACCCTTAGACCAAGAGTCACATTCTCTGGGGCACCTGGGTGGCTCAGTTGGTTTAGCGTCTGCCCTTGGCTCAGGTCATAACCCTGGGGTCCTGGGATCAAGCCCTACATCAGGCTTCCTCCTCAGTGGGGAGCCTGCTTCTCCCTATCCCTCTGCCACTCCCCTGTTTGTGCTAGCTCATGCATGCGGGCTATCTATCAAATAAATAATTGTTTTTTTAATTGATGAGAGACACAGAGAGAGAGGCAGAGACATAGGCAGGAGAAGCAGGCTCCTTGAGGGACTTGATCCTAGGACCCTGGGATCACAGCCTGAACCAAAGGCTCAAGCACTGAGCCACACAGGTGCCCCATAAATAAAATCTTTTAAAAAAAAGTCACATACTCTGCCACCTGAGCCAGCCAGGTGCCCTATCACCACCTTCTCTTTTGTCTTCAATTTATTTCTCTCTCTCTCTTTTTTTAAAAGATTTTATTTATTTATTCATGAGAGGCACACAGAGAGAGAGAGAGGCAGAGACACAGGCAGAGGGAGAAGTAAGCTCCACGCAGGGAGCCCAACATGGGACTCGATCCTGGGTTTCCTGGATCACACCCTGGGCTGAAGGTGGCGCTGAACCACTGAGCCACTGGGGCTGCCCTTATTTTTCTCTTTTAACCTATATGTGGCATTTGGCATTTTTGACCACCTCCTCCTACTTGAAATTTTCTTCATTCTTGGCCTTTGTTATATTACATTTTCTTGCTTCTCTGGCTATGTGCTCTCTCTTGTCCTTCTCCATTCCTTAACATCTAAGTCTCAGTTTGTATCCTTTTGCATAAATTCCCATCCTTTTGGAGATATTTACCTTATAGCTTCATCTATCACTTCCATGATATTAACCTATCAAATCCTAGGCCTGTCTTCTTTTTCTAACCCTAGGAACATATTTAACTATTAACTAGGCATTTCAATGTGGCTATCCCTTATCAATTAAAACCAAATTTATCAACTTTTCCCCAAAACTGGCTTCCTTTCCTGACTTTGCTATTTTTATTAATCATTCCACAAGTTGGTTTCCCGACCCAAAGTTATTATTGAATATTTTCTCCATGACCATTTATATCCAGTTTGTCACTAGGGTCCACTTCAAATGTTATTTTTGTCTCCCTACAATTACCCCAACTAGATTTTAAACTTCTTGAGGACAGGGACAGTATAGTATGTTGCTTTGCATTTCCTACAACACTTAACCGATAATGTATATATGGTATACTGAAAGATCTTAATTTGAATTAAATGGATGAACCAGGGCCCCTTGATTCTTCTCTTAAAGGTACTGCTAAAGTCAGATAGCCCAACAGGGGATGTTTTACTGGATGAAACTCTCAAACACATCAAAGCAACTGAACCCACAGAAACCGTCCAGACATGGATAGAGCTACTCACAGGTAAAATGGTTCAAAAATCCCACACTTTGTAATCTTTATCCTACTAGTTCAAGAAAAGGAGTAGAAGAGTTCAAGCTACTGGGTAAGAAGTATATGGTTCACTGTTCATTGAAGAGGGACAGAAAAGGCATGGTTAATCAATACACAAAGTTTTCCAGAGCTTCATCTTATTTCTGCTACTCCAACCCATAAGCTCCCTAATGATATTTTTCATGAGGAATTTTTTTAAAGATTTTGTTTATTCATGAGAGACAGAGAGAGAGGCAGAGACATAGGCAGAGGGAGAAGCAGGCTCCATGTACTGAGCCTAATGTGGGACTCGATCTCAGGACCATGGGGTCATGACCCAAGCCAAAGGTAGATGCTCAACTGCTGAGCCACCCAAGGCAACCCCACAAGAAATTTTTTAAACATCTCTTTGATACATAATTCACACACCACATACCCATGGAAAGTACACAATTAAATGGATTTTAGTATATTCACACAATTGTGCAACCATCCTCACAAACTGAATTGAGAACATTTTCTTCACCCCAAAATAAACCCCCTACTCATTAGCAGTTTTTCCCAAGTCTCCTGCCCAGCTGTGGCAGCCACTACTCTACATTCTGTCTCTGTGGATTGGCTTATTCTAGATATTTCATATAAGGGAAATGTACAATTTTTTGTGACTGGCTAAGATACAACATTTTTAAGGTTCATCCATGTTTTAGCATGTACCAATAGTTTGTTTATTCTCTTTTTTTTAAGGGCAAGTCCAAACACTTTATTTTTTTTAAAGATTTTTATTATTTATTCATGAAAGAGAGAGAGAGGAAGAGACATAAGCAGAGGGAGAAGCAGGCTCCATGCGGGAAGCCCGATGTGGGACTCGATCCCTGATCCCAGGATCAGGCCCTGGGCCAAAGGCAGATGCTCAACCGCTGAGCCACCCAGGCATCCCTCAAAAACTTTAATATAAGTAAGTAGAACTATGGCATAAAATTTTAGGAGAATCTTCCACCGGTCACTTTGAGGTCACAGCCAATGTCACCTTCTGGGACAAATTTTTTTAATTTTTTTTTTTTATTTACTTATGATAGTCACAGAGAGAGAGAGAGAGAGGCAGAGACACAGGCAGAGGGAGAAGCAGGCTCCATGCACCGGGAGCCCGACGTGGGATTCGATCCCGGGTCTCCAGGATCGCGCCCTGGACCAAAGGCAGGCGCCAAACCGCTGCGCCACCCAGGGATCCCTGGGACAAATTTTTTAACTGAAATTTGTACTGAGATACTTGGAGATTTACATGCAGTTGTAAGGGGTAATACTGAGAGATCCTTTATATACTCTGCTCAGAATTCCCCAGTGATAACCTTTTACAAAACTATGATATATTATGATCTATAGGATATTGACATTGATAAAATCCACCAATCTTATTAGAACTTCCCAAGTTTTACTTGACTCCTTTTTATCACTAATATTTCATTGTGTAGATATACCACATTTATATATCGATTCATCAGTTGATAGACATTTGGATTATTTCCACTTTTTCGCTATTATGAATGATGCTCCTATGGACATTCACAGACATGTTTTTTATGGATATATTTTTTTTTCTTTTTTAAGATTTTATTTATTTATTCATGAGAGACACACACAGAGAGAGGCAGAGACACAGTCAGAGGGAGAAGCAGGCTCCACTCAGGGAGCCCCACGTGGGTCTCCATCCTGGGTCTCCAGGATCACTCCCTGGGCCGAAGGTGGCGCTAAACTGCTGAGCCACCCGGGCTGCCCTATGGATATATTTTAATTTGGGGGGACATATAGTTAACTTTTTTCATTGTGGTAAAATACATATAATCTTTATTGTTTTAACCATTCATAAATGTATAATTCAGTGACATTAAATGCATTCAAGGTGTTATGTAACTAATCACTTCTCTCTGTACCCAAAGCTTTCTCATCATCCCAAACATCCTTCTTAACTCCCCACTCCCCATTCTCTACAACCTCTTTTCTATGTGTTGTCTTTATGAATTTGCCTGTACTAGGTAACTCATATAAGTGGAATCATACAATGTTTATCCTTTTATATTTGTCTTATTTCACTAAGCATAATGTTTTCAAGGTCTGTTCATGTTGTAGCATATATCAAAATCTCATTCCTTTTTATGGCCACTGAGTAATCCATTGTTCAGATATACCACATTTGTTTTAATTCATTTGTTGATGGACACTTGGGTTGTTTCCACCTTTTAGGTATTGTGGATAATGCTGCTATGAACATTAATATACAAATATCTATTCAAGTCACTGCTTTCTACTCTTTTAGATATATACCTAAGAGTAGAATTGCTGGGTCATGTAATAGTTCTACGTTTTGAGAAACCACAAAATTATTTTCTACAAAGGATGCACCCTTTTACATTCTCACCAGCCATGCATAAGGGCTCCAGTTTCTCCACATTGTCATCAAAACTTGTTCTATTTTTTTGTTTGTTGGTTTGGTTTGGTTTTTAATTATAGTTCTCTTAGTAGACATGAAGGAATATCTCGATTTGATTTGCATTTTCCTAATGACCAGTGATAAGCATCTTTTTATGGGTGTATTAGCCATTTGCATATCTTCTTTGGAAAAATGTCTATTCAAGTCCTTTGCCCATTTTTTAAATTGGGTTCTGTTGTTATTGTTGCTGAATTTTAGGAGTATTTTGTATTTTATGAATATAAATCCCTATTATTATATATAATATATAATATATATTAATATTATATAATATTAATCAGATCCATCATTTATAGTATTTTCTTCCATTCTGTAGGTTGTCTTCTCAACCTTTTTGATGGTAATCCTTGATACCAAAAGTTCTTAATTTGGATTAAATCCAATTTATCTATTTTTTCTTTTGTTGCTTGCACTTTTGGTCTCATATCCATGAAAAGATCGACCTTTTCCCATTGAATAATCTTAGCAGCCTTGTTGAAAATCAGTTGATCGGGGATCACTGGGTGGCTCAGTGGTTTAGCGCCTGCCTTTGGCCGCAGGGTGTGATCCTGGAGTCCCGGGATCAAGTCCCACATTGGGCTTCCTGCATGAAGCCTGCTTCTCCCTCTCCCTGTGTCTCTGCCTCTCTCTCTGTGTGTGTGTATGTCTCTCATTAATAAATAAATAAAACCTTAAAAAAAAAGGAAAAGAAAATCAGTTGATCATAGATGTGAGGATTTACTTCTGGGCTATCTGCTCTATTGCATTGATCTATGCTTGACCTATGGCAATACCATACTGTTTTACTTACTATAGCTTTGTAATAATTTCTGAAATTGGAAAGTATGAGTGTCACAACTTTATTCTTTTCTTTTTTTTTTTTTAAAGATTTTATTTATTTATTCATGAGAGACACAGAGAGAGAGAGGCAGAGACACAGGCAGAGGGAGATGCAGGCCCCATGCAGGGATCCCCCACATGGGACTCCATCCCAGGTCTCCAGGATCAGGCCCTGGGCTGAAGGTGGCCCTAAACCGCTGAGCCACCTGGGCTGCCCACTTTATTCTTTTTCAAGATTGTTTTGGCTACCCTGGGTCTCATGCAGTTGCATGTGAATTTGAGGATCAGCTTTTCCATTTCAGTGGGAAAGACTCCTGGAATTTTGTTAGGGATTGTGTTGAACCTGTAGATCTCTTTGAGTGGTATTGATAACTTGACGGTGTCAAGTCCTTTGCCCATTAAATATAGGATGTCTTTACATTATTTTTGTCATCTTTAATGTTTTTCAGCAATGTTGTGTAGTTTTCAGCATATATATCTTTCACCTCTGGTTAGACTTATTCCTAAGTTTTTAATTCTTTTAGACACTATTATAAATGGAACTACTTTCTTAATTTCCTTTGTTTACTTGTGTGTAGAAACAGCTGATATTTGTGTGTTTTCCTTGTACCCTGCACTTTAGCTGAATTAGTTTATTAGCTCTAGTAGCATTTTTGTGCATTCTTTGGGATTTTCTATACAGTTAACCCTTGAACAACATGGGTTTGAACCATGCAGGCCCATATATACATAGATTTTTTTCAATACAAAACAAAACAATGTAAATGTATTTTCCTTATGATTTTCTTAAAATTTAATTTTTTTAGCTTATTATAAGAATACAGTATATAATACATGTAACATACAAAATATCAAAATATGTGTTAATTGACTGTTTAGGTTATCAGTAAGGCTTTCAGTTTAGACTATTACTAGTTAAGTTTTTTTTTTAAGATTTTATTTATTTACTCATGAGACACAGAGAGAGAGAGAGAGAGAGAGAGAGAGGCAGAGACACAGGCAGAGGGGAAGCAGGCTCCATGCAGGGAGCCTGATGCGGGACTCGAACCTGGGACCCCAGGATTGCGCCCTGGGCCAAAGGCAGGCTCCAAACAGGAGCCACCCAGGGATCCCACTAGTTAAGTTTTTAAGGAATTAAAAGTTTTTGGTTATTTATTTATTTATTTATTTATTTATTCATGATAGACATAGAGAGAGAGAGAGAGGCAGAGACACAGGCAGAGGGAGAAGCAGGCTCCATGCAGGGAGCCCGACGTGGGACTCAATCCCGGGACTCCAGGATTGCACCCTGGGCCAAAGGCAGGCACCAAACCGCTGAGCCACCCAGGGATCCCCAGGAATTAAAAGTTTTATACAGATTTTAGACTGCAGGGGATTGGCACCCGTAACTCCCAGGTTGTTCAAGGGTCAGCTATATAAGGATCATGGCACATGCAGAGATAGTTTTAGCTTTTCCTTTGCAATATGGATGCCTTTCATCTTTTTATCTTCTCTAATAGCTCTGGTTAGTACCTTATTGAATAGCAGGAGGGAAAGCAATCATCCTTATATTTTCATGACCTTGTGATGTTAGCTGTGGATTTTTCATAAATACCCTTTACTATGTTGAGAAATTTTCCTTTTATTTCTAGTTTTCTGAGAGTTTTTAATTATGAAAGTGTGTTTTTTTTTTTTAAGTGTGTTCATT